GATTAACCAAATATTCACTGAATATTATTCATTGGGTACAGCTTCTAATGTTTATGTTTCTTTGTTAGAATGGAGTGAAAGAGCAAAATTTTTTGGCATGAGGATTTTTTGAAATATATTTTAATAAAGAATGCAGGAGGGGAGCAATTTTTTTACTTGTTTGTTTTTTAGTGACAAGGTTCCTAAGAGATTTCTTGCTTTTTGGAATATATAAATAAATCTAGTAGAAGCAACATCAAAAAGTGAAGGATCCCTGATGTTAAAACAGAATGATGGAAGTGAAGGTCTTGAACCACTGTAAAGGATTCTATAGGGCGGTTGGTTCACTGATGTTGTCTTTGAAAATGGTATTCAAGTCAATCCATTTATTGATGCAATTTTCCAGGTACTGATTAGCTGATGATATAATAAACTGAGCAAGATAACTATAAGCATTGGATTTAACGATAGAATTATTTATTAGAAATATGAATAATAAGGATACATACTGACTGCAACTTTTGATAATGGTTGCGACCACTTTGTTTCCCGTTTTGGATTGCGAGGACACTGATGGATAACAAACCTTGAATCTATCCATTCCTTTTCTGCTGAACGACAAGGAATATATAGAGAGTCACCGCAAAATAGATAGTTAAATTAGCAGTAACACATGATATAATTTGTTTGTGGCCGTGACAGCTTTAAAAAACACGGCGAAAATGTTTGATTCAGAGTAGGAATAGTTTGGTTTGTATTTATAAGATAAAGGGTTATTATATTACAAATAGGTATCCTCGTAAGTTATTTTTCTCATTTTTTTCAACTGAAGTTTGAACATCATTTTGATTAAGAAGTCAAGTTGGATATGAAACTTGATGGAAAAAACTGAAATTGTAAAAAATTTAAAGGAACTATTTGTCAAGTCAATGCCTCCAAAGTTTTTGGTATTATTGTTCCTTGTAATGTTGTATGTAGTATGTAGTGATGAATCTACATCTAATTATATTACACACTTATATGATGACCTCAAAAAGAACAAAACTTAATCTGAAAAGTTTTTTTTTTTGAAAAAAAAAAATATTGATAATTTTGATAGAATGTAAAATGATTAAATAAATTTAAAGTTTTTTGTTAACAATGAATATTCACTGAATAATCAATTTAATGACTGAATGAATATTTTAATTATTCACCAAATGATTATCTGAATATTAAATTTAATTGATTGAATGAATATAAAACGAATGAATATTCAGTGAGCACAACCTTTATTTTTCCATAATTATTTGCTCTTGCATGAGACATTGGTATCATGGGCTGCCATGTTCCTAATATTAGGTGGAATTTACAAAACAGAATTATTTAAGAGTTGTCATGTAGGTTATGGTCTGCTCAGATGTAAATAATGGAATTTCTTCTTTTGATACTCTGTCATTAGAATTAGAATTATTAGAATTATTCTGAATTAAAAAAGTATTAATTGACGATCCGTCTATGAATCAGTGTGACCGGGTAGTTGATAGGTCCAAGATTTACTATCTCACACTATATAAGT